TCTTATCAGACTTCACCCAATCTTGTTCAGCTTTAACGGCTGGGGTCTTCATAAAGAAGCTATCCAATCTGGTCTGAGAGCATAGCTTTCTAGCAGTTTTTAGGCGCTCGATGGCGTTATTAACCCTTGTCTCATTGAACTGATTCTCATTGATTAGGAATTGTCGTAAATCATCCTCCTTGTAACTCCTTTTGTTGAAAGTCCAAGTCCTTCAATTCCTCAAGTGGAATAACATCAGGGTATACAAATAATTGCTTTGCCTCAGCCCATGGATACATAAACGGTAACTCATAAAGCTTCTTCTTCTTTTGGTCACTACCTTTCTTGTCTAATCCATCACCCACCATCTCATCCACCATATCATCTCCCTTATCTACATCCTGAATACCAGAACCACTGATTTCGTTCAGCTCAGGTAATGACTCAGTTTGAGTACCACTTCCATTTGATCCTGTAACCTGTTCATTTGATCCTGTAACCTGTTCATTTGATCCTGTAACCTGTTCATTTGATCCTGTAACCTGTTCTTGATTCATATGATCTTGATCTTGATTCATAACACCCTGCGTATATATGCCGTCATTATAAATGTTCTTTGTGGCCGTTCCATGTTGAGGTCGAGTACATAGTCTGTCTATAATTCTTTCTATCGATCCATAATCTTTAAGTAACTTGTAGGCAGTAGCTGGCCCAATCCCTTTAATGCTATCGCAATAGTCGCAGCCACAGAGGATGCAGAACTCGATGAATTGTTCTTGATTAAAGTTGAGGGTTTGAAGAAGTTTGTCAAGATGATAGACCATAACAGGCTGCTTCTTATCAGTAAAGTTCATGCTACGGAGAAGTAGAGGGGTACCAAAGCATAATGAATCTGAATCTTCAGAGACTGTGGCATCGGCCTTACCTGCGCGACATAGCATAGCGCACTGACTTTCAGCCTCTCCAGGGGCTTCGATAATCGGTATACCCATTAATTTTAATAATTTTTTTACATCATCATTATGCTTTTTTGTCACTCTAACCATACGTCCCGCTAACTGCTTAACTCGCACATCATCACCCAGCTCCTTCGCCTCTTTCATCTCCGCTTCCGCCTGAGCCTTCCGATCTTTCCGACGAGCCAACTCTCCAGACTTCAACAACGGCGGCTTTCCATCAAATACATACACCGGCTTCATACCCAACTCCAACATTCGAATCGCCCGACTCAACATACCTGCAATATGCGATGTTGCCTCACCAGCCTCATTCGTCAAATTCCCATAATTCTCCGAATCCCGAATCGCTATCATAAACGCATATAAACACGTAGATGCGTCCACCGCAACCGTACGACCCATAAACGACTGCGGTGCCGCATGCTCCACCGCTCCCGGCGCCTTCTCTGCAACGAATTTATTCAAGCCATGAATCCCCATGAAAATATTATTACTAACTACTATCTACTCAAAGACTCCCACCCAGATAGATACCCGCGCGCGAATTTTCTTATTCGCGCGCGCGCGCGTGTGTGCACACACATATTAATTACCGTCATCTCGCAGATCATCGCAGCCTACATTTGTATCGTCTCATCATCTGACCATCAGGGCAGGCAGTCTGACCATCAGGGCAACCTGACCATCAAGTCCCGATATAAGGCAGGGTTAGGGAATATCAGCTGGAGGACTATAAGTCTCCCGATATAAGTGGTCCCAATTCTAGCGTCCACTAGGTCTCAAAGAAACTGTTGTTCCGTTTAGGCGCTATGAATTTCTGGAGCGCTTGAAGGAGTCTAGGTCCCTTCGAGCGTCCATTCCGTGCCGTAGTGGGGGTGGGAGCAATCATGGTGGTCGACCTAAAAGGTACATATAAACTAGCTTTGTGAGCCGAGTGGGGTACTGTCGTCGTGTCGGGTACTGTCGTCGTGTCGGGCACTGTCGTCGTGTCGAGGTGATTCCTACCTACCTGAAATGATGGACACTGTCGTGATGATGACTTGCGCTGCTGGCTGCCATGTCCCATCCAATGTCGTTGGCTATAAGCCCTGCGTCTAGGCTCTTCCGGAACGGCCATTCGGCTCCTGAAGAAACATTGTCCTCCAATGCAAGTGCGGATGTTTGTTCAGTGACATTAGGGGAGAGATGTGCAGGGGAACGGCAATCGGTGATGCCAAGATAGCCCCTCATGTACGACTCGTTGGCGTCGACGTACAACGAATGTCGGTGGCCATCCCGTCCCGGCGACCAATGTCTGTCCCGTCCCTCCTGCCCTTGGTGCGCAGTCTCGTGTTGAGGTTGCCCCTCTTGTTGAGGTGGACCATCGTCATGTTGGGAGTACTCACCTGCTCGATTATATTGTTCCTCAGACACCTTCTTCGCGAGGTCGTCAGCAGCGGCAGGTGACCTAAACAAAACATTCGAGTTGCCTGCAGTCAGTTCGCCTTGGCTGAGACCCAGTCTGTCACCGATCATGCTACCTACTCGGTCAGAGTAGCTATGCGGTACGGGGCTTCTTAGATCGAGTGGCATACGGGGAACCTGCGGCGTTCTCGCCTCGAGTGGTCGTCCATCGAGTGGTCGTCCATCTAGGGGTCTGTAAAAGGGCGTTGCGTCTCCGGCGCTAGGAGTCATGAGATGGTTGATAGGCCATTCCGCAGCGAGGAGGAAGTTTGGTCGCGAGGTACGTCTGGCGCTAAGGTTCAGTTCGCTGGCCTGGCGTTGGTAAAGAGGCGGAGTGGGTGAGTATAGGGTCTTTTTATTCAATTCTTGCTTTCGTTTGAGATCTCGATTTTCACACTTTGCCAAAATCACTTTCTCTACTGCACGTCGCACCGACGCATGGTAGACTACATCGCCCCGCAATACCGCCATCATAAGACCTGGTACGCCCTCCGTGGAGGTGTCGTCCGTGGCCAAACATGTGTGCACACACTCGAACAGAAAGTGATACTGATTCAATTGAAAGCGTAGATCCCGACATATTATATTTTTGTTCCTTAATTCTTCACTCAACAAATATTTTTCTTTCTCCAGGATCCGAATCCGACCCTGACTCAGGACCCGGCCCCGGTCCTCCGTCCCAGTTTGGCCATTTAGTATAGCCTTGTTGTTCGGTGAATTAGTCGTCACCAGCGCGCTCGGCAGCAGCTCGCTGACTGATACTTTGCTGGATAACGGCGACCCCGACAGTGGTGGTGATGCCAACAGTGGTGGTGATGCCAACAGTGGTGGTGATGCCGCTGGAGACACCTTGGTCGACGTAGAGGCGCGCGCAGCTGGAGGTGACGCCTTTGACAAAATTTCCGAACGCAGAGTCGAACGACTTAAGTGCGGTGTAGTCGGCTCCCCCACAGCACCTCTTGGCCCCACCCCAGACCCGGCACCTGGCCGCACCGCATCTTCTTCTTCCGCATCTTTGGTCACAGCTTTCGCCATGCCCGTGTGCGACCGGGATGCACCACCCCCATAACTCCAGAACTTGCTCGAAAGTCGTCGCAGTCGACAATGATCCGCACGATCTTCCACCAAACGGTCCAAGCAGTAGTTATAAACCGCCGAATTGTACAATGCACCGCGCATATCCTCACCACCTTCCACTCCTCGAAAAGGAACACTCCACTCACGACTGCTGTCTTTAGTCGACAATGAACAACTACTAGTCAAACCGTCATCGCCCTCCAACCCCCGTAATGTCTCCTCCAACCGCTTGGCCACCGTCTCCACCTTCTCCCCTGATCGCCATGCAGCCAGCAAGCTCAACGTTTGAGCCAAAGACAGACAAATTGCATCAATCATAACGGTGATAAAACACCCCCTCCTTTTAATTCTACCCACCACCCCCTATTCCCACCACCCCCTATTCCCCCCGCCCCTGCGCTCCCCTCTTCCCTAAACACGCAACGGACTGCAATGGACTCTCGAATGGTGGGCACGACTCGAGATGGATAAAACTAGGGTCAAAGGTGCAGGTGCAGATCGGACATGGGTGTCTATACAAAGTGAGTGATCAGAGTATATCTTCTCTTAGTTCTCTTCCGTCAGTCCATACAAGGATGCTCGAGTCTTTGCCACAAGAGTGGACAGAGACAAGGAAGTGTCAAAGGCAATAAAAGACCTCGACAAGTAAGCGTTCCCTTCCCCCTTCCCCCTTCCCCCTTCCCCCTTCCCCCTTCCCTTCTTATAATCTCTTATTTTCGTAGTATATGTCTTCGGCGATTCATCAAACCATCAAATAAGAAGGCGCTTGATATAAATGAAAATGAATACAAGCGGGTTGAGAACTTTCTGAAGCAGATGTCTAAGAGACAGAAGGGGCTATTATATGAGATCCATCGATTGGTACGAGTGCTGGAGACGAAGCACTCATCTGAAAGGGAAGTTCTGGATCGTTGTTTTAAGAATGCTAATGATCTTGAGCTATTTAAGTTGACTAAACTGAAGAATCATGACCAGTGGATCGAGGCGTTTTCAGACGTCATGACACCTTGGGCGGAGTGGTTTGAGGAGACCGTATCACACAGGTTAGTGTTTCCACATATGTGCCCCCACATATGTGTTTCCACACGTATTTTATGGTATTTTATTGTAGGGATGATATATACTATTTGGATGTATTCTGGGATGAATTGCAAAAGTCAGAATGCTTATGGTACATGCTAGATGCATGTTGTCTGGTTCAACAATTAGAAATAATAGATGGTCGTATGCTAAAGTTTCTGGAGATGTATGATATTACACTTGCCAACAATCCTTGGTATGAACTTCATGTATCAGATCGGCTAGTTCAGAAACTTTCGTGGATTGGTGAAATGGTTTACGTCGAACAACTAATGGTTGGTTCTCTACGAAATATTTTGGAAGACTTTGTAAAGAAGGAGAAACTGAACGCGATTGACGCTGAAACGATAGTTCCACCACCGTTGCAAGCAGCCGCCAACAAATCCTTTTGATCTGGTCCATATTGGAACACTGCATCAGGCATCTGATCAGCACTGCATCAGGCATCTGATCTGCACTGCATCAGGGATCTGATCTGATCTGATCAATAGTCTATCTGTCCAGCCATCGTCGTTGGTGTCCAGCCATCATCGTCGTTGGTGTCCAGCCATCATCGTCGTTGGTGTCCAAAAATATAGTCTTTTTTGATAGAGAAGATAAAAGATAAAATTCTAGTTAGTTGAACATATGAGAACGCCGACCAAAACCCCGTTGACTATTATTACCTTTGATGAGGATACTGAGGGAGTATCCCCGATCACCCTTTCCCCATGTTCATTGGATGAGCACATGGACTGTGAAGGGCAGAGGCGAGAGCCGCCATCTACCTACCGGTTATGGATGCAATCAGATCCTAGTCATAACAAAACACCACCCACTTCCAAAACCACTGGTAAGCCTTTCGGGGGTCGGTAACCCCCCCCCCATCCTCCTCCTCCTCCCCCTCCTCCCCCCCGGCATATCACCGTATATGCAGCGGAGTTGGCGCTACAAGGTGATGAAGAGTACGATGATGATGATCCTTTTGCATTTGATTTATTGGGACGAAATAAATGGGGTGCAAGAACTCGAGAAGGGTTAGCAGATTGGTACAATGGTGACGAGCTTATGACGGCCGAGGTGGTCGATAGTTCTTTGGATGACACAATGAATACTCTGGAGAAGGAGAAATTAAGGGTACGAGTTCTGCATCATATAGCTCATGTCAAATTGAATTTGAAACTATCATTGATTGCGAAAGGTCTAGAACTCGTTACAATGGGGATAATAGGTTGCCGATTTATATTCCAATCTTGGATAGGGTTAGCCTTACAATTATTATGTTCGATTGGTTCATCGTCATCTGAACTTTGGCGTTTTGCCGGTAAGTTTGGCTTGCCTTATGAAACATGTAAGCAATGAGATACAGTCTTAGCACACGTGTGTGCAATGAGATACAGTCTTAGCACACGTCAGTGCACTGAGATACAGTCTTAGCACACGTCAGTGCACTGAGATACAGTCTTAGCACACGTGTTGGATTTTATAGTAAACAAGGACTTACAAGAATTATCTCGACGACGCGAAGGTATTGCGTTAATATTACAAAGTATTTGGAAACTTCTTGGAGCAGTGTTCTTGACAGCATTTGCAATTTGGACGTTGTACGACGATGGAAAAGTTGATCCTCATTATGAGAAATTGATGTACTTGGGTGCAGGATTCTGTACCGGTGGTTTTATCGCGAAAATCTCTCTTGCCATTTGGATGACGTATGTCACAAAAAAGAAGCTAAACGATATACATCATAGCTTGGATGCGGAATCTTTGTTCTCATACATCATGTCTTTATCGTCATTGAAAACTGCTGTAGTTTGCTATGCTGCCACGACATACCCAGAAAATGAAGACAAAAATATACAGCGT